TCTGACTTCAGCTCAGGTCATGATCTCATGGTTTATGAGTTCAAGCCCCCACATCAGGCTCTGTGCTGACAGCTCGAGCCTGGAGCCTGCTTGGGATTCTGTGTCTCCCTCTCTCTCTGCCCCTACCCTGCTTGTGCTCTCTGTCTCTCATAAATGAATAAATGTTAAAAAAATTAAATGCCCGCAGTTTTAATGAGTAATTCTTTTTTTAGTTTGTATTCTCCGGGTGGGTTATTTCCCTTCTCTCCTCTCATGGATTCCTACCTGCAGGATTATCGGGATTATCAGAGTGATAGGGCTCATCTGACTTCAGAACAGCCTTGCTTCTCCTTTGTGTTGAGTGCTCTGTCAGCAGGTGCCCACAGGTGCTTTAACATCCGTTTTTCTTTGCCTGGGTGGAAGTCTCCGGAATTTCTACATCTTCCGGGTTGGCCGAAAAATCGCAGACTCCCACTCAGGTAACAGAAAGATGAAGTGGGCCTGTCGCAGAATCTCCAAATCGTTCCTTCTCCTGTGGGTTTATTTTTCCCTGAGACACATAATGAAATTTAGGTTTCTGTTTCCTCGATTCATTCGTTTGAAGGTCTGAGTCCCTCCCTGAGGAGCTCTCGTTGATCCCAGGTCGGCCCTGAGCAGAATTCAGACCACATTTTCCTTTCCTAAAATATTCCTGTAAGGGAGCCCTGTAATGAGAAACCCCACAAAGGACAAGAATCCGGGGCAGGTCACTTCTGCACAGTCACCGGCCCTGAGGGCAGACGGAGCGCTCCCAGCGTCCCGGGGCTCTGCTCTCTCTGGCCAGAGCTCAGTGCTGTGAGATTATCCCGGGGTCCAGGCAGGGGTGTCGTCGCAGGGGCAGACCTCTCTGGGCCTCGTTTGGCATTTGATGCGACTGTAGTTTTGCTGTCGTTTGTCCTGATGACAGGTGGTTTCCGTGCAGCCCTGACCTTCTTGTTCTGCTTTTGTCCCCAGTCCCTATCATCCCGAGTTACTTGTACAGCATTAATCACGAGAAAAATGCCTCAGAAGTCCAGACCGCCAAGCCAGTGCTCACGGCGTCTACCTCGGGCCGCTTTCAGAACATCTTCTCTTATTATGACAACACCACCATGGTCACTGGGAATAGCACCGGAGAGCTACAGCGGGGGCCACCGCCTGCGGCCAGCACCCAGCACACGGTGACGAACACATCCGCCGCGCCTTCTGACTGTCCCAGCGAAAACAAAGACCTCCTGAATGAAAACGTTCAAGTTGGCCTGCTGTTTGCCTCTAAAGCCACCATCCAGCTCCTCACCAACCCCTTCATAGGACTGTTGACCAACAGGTAGGTTCCGTTATTTTGGCCAAGGAGGCTTCTATTCATGTCCTTCCCAGGTCATTGCTCTTTGGGATTCTGTTTTCTCCTCCATTTATCAGAGTGCGGAAAACCAGTGGTGGGCGAGCTGGGGGAAACCCGATCTCCTTCTTTGGGGTTTCTTTCCTTCATCGTGATTTCCCACGTGTTCAGCCTTTTTTGTTGCCCCCTCTCTTGCTCCGAAAGTAAGGAAATACTAAAACAGAATAAAGAGGCCCTCCCCGGGTGGGAGCACGTTGATTCCGTCCAAATGCTGTGTCGCGTTAGTACATTTGTCAGACTCGCCCTTGGGCGGCAGGAACTGACTCTGCAGCCGCCGTGGCATCATCGTTGGGCTCCGCGTGTCACCCGCCTTTGTGTTTTCTTCTTCCTCTGGCCGTCCGCTTCCTTCTAGAAAGCCAAGGTGGTTTGCTTTAGTGCTGGTGTGGGGAAGGGTCAAGACGGCCAGGGAGAGAGTGGGGAAGACCAGTAATCCTGCTGCGAAGATGGACCCCTAAGCTCACGCCGAGGCCATGGCATGTAATGAGCCCCCTTGCCGGTTACTCAGCTGTGTTCACACGCACAAAGAGGAGCGTATCGAGCCTGTTTTCTGGATCAGTCAAACCAGCCGCGAATGCCCCCAGATAACGCCCAAACTAGCTTTATTTTAATCTGGATGCTCTGGATGTTTTGGGGGGGACCCGCCTCCTCTTGAATAATTGTTCCCGCCTCCACTGTCGGTGGCCATCCAGCAAGTATCCTTCCGCAGCCCAGCTGGCCCAGCTCTGCCTGGTATGGCAGGGGCTGGAAAGCACCAGGCAGGGTACTTGCAGAGAAAGGGAGAGGGCAGTCCCTGAAGGTGTCGGCTGCGAAGAGCTGGTACAGTATGAGTGCTGGGGGCAGACTGCCATATAAACGTTGTAGCCTGAAAGGCAGAAATGCAAACAAACCAAAAAACAGTAGAGAGGGGAGTGCCTGGGATCCTATTTGTGAACCAGGCCCAGATGCATGAGCAGAGACCAAGGTGACAGCCGGAAAAGAGAACGTAGAAGGGTGGGCTGAATAAGGAAGGCAGGGCAAGTGGGGACGGGGCAGGGCAAGGCTGTAAGAGGCCCTGAGTGCCAGGCAGAGAGAGGAGGGGGTTTTGTTGGTGTGTGTGGGGG